CCACAGCGCCCCTAGAGGACAGAGTGGAACTGAACCACAGGGTCTCCAAGGCTGTCAATCTTCACAGAAGCAAAGCCCAAACCATACCCACTGCTGTGGAGTCAATTCTGACCCACAGCGCCCCTAGAGGACAGAGTGGAACTGCCCACAGGGTCTCCAAGGCTGTCATCTTTATGGAAGCAAAGCTCTAACCACACCCACTGCCATGGAATCCATTCTGACTCACAGCGCCCCTAGAGGACAGAGTGGAACTACCCCACAGGGTCTCCAAGGCTGTCATCTTTATGGAAGCAAAGCCCTAACCACACCCACTACCGTGGAGTCAGTTCTGACTCACAGCGCCCCTAGAGGACAGAGTGGAACTGCCCCACAGGGTCGACAAGGCTGTCAATCTTCACAGAAGCAAAGCCCAAACCACACCCATTGCCTGGAGTCCATTCTGACTCACAGCGCCCCTAGAGGACAGAGTGGAATTACCCCACAGGGTTTCCAAGGCTGTCAATCTACAGAAGCAAAGCCCAAACCACACCCGCTACTGTGAAGTCGATTCTGACCCACAGCGCCCCTAGGGGACAGAGTGGAACTGCCCCACAGGGTCTCCAAGGCTGTCAATCTACAGAAGCAAAGCCCAAACTACACCCGCTACTGTGAAGTCGATTCTGACCCACAGTGCCCCTAGGGGACAGAGTGGAACTGCCCCACAGGGTCTCCAAGGCTGTCAATCTTCACAGAAGCAAAGCCCAAACCACACCCGCTGCCGTGGAGTCGATTCTGACCCACAGCTTCCCTAGAGGACAGAGTAGAACTGCACCACAGGGTTTCCTAGGCTGTCAATCTTCACAGAAGCAAAGCCCAAACCACACCCATTGCCATAGAGTCGATACTGACCCACAGCGCCCCTAGAGGACAGAGTGGAACTGCACCACAGGGTTTCCTAGACTGTCAATCTTCACAGAAGCAAAGCCCAAACCACACCCACTGCCGTGGAGTCAGTTCTGACCCACAAAGCCCCTAGAGGACAGAGTACAACTGCCTCACAGGGTCTCCAAGGCTGTCAGTCTTCACAGAAGCAAAGCCCAAACCACACCCACTGCCGTGGAGTCCATTCTGACTCACAGTGCCCCTAGAGGACAGAGTGGAACTGCCCCACA